TAACGGTTTGACTAACCAAGAGAAGATATGGTATTTCAATCTTTTTCTTTACTGGCCTCAGAGACATATAGCTCCCACTGGCAATCGGGAGCTTAGTTTGATTAAGGTGTACTCAGATATCTGCCAGCTATATTGTGTACACACACACACACACACACACACACACACACACACACACACTGAGGTCATAAGTGTGAGAATCTGGAGTCATCCTACTGGGGAAATAAGAGCCTCAAGGACAAGGTTGAGGCTGACTATATTCACCTGAGATGCTAAGCCCAGTGTTTGGTGAACCTGAGGTGACACCCAGTTAGAAGCTGACTGGCATCAGAAATGGAGGGTCAGTTCTTTGCGAGGCTGTAAAAGGATACACAATTGCATATCTAAATCGGATACGGAGAGAAATGAGTTTAGCAACTGAATCAGTTCATGACATTTGTATAAGATACTAAAAGTTGGGGCACCTGGGTGGCTTAGTCGGTTAAGCGACCAACTTTCGCTTAGGTCATGATCTCGCAGTTCGTGGGTTCGAGCCCCGCGTCGGGCTCTGTGCTGACTGCCAGCTCAGAGCCTGGAGCCTGTTGCAGAGTCTGTGTCTCCCTCTCTCTCTGACCCTCCCCTGCTCATGCTGTCTCTCTCTCTCTCTCTCCTGGAAATAAAACATTAAAAAAAATTTTAAAAAGATACTAAAAGGTGTTCAAAAAGAGAGAACTAAAAAAAAAAAAAAAAAGTAGGGGGCCAAATTTAGAGGAGATCCACAATGGAATAGCCAAGAAGCTGGAAGAAAAACAGAACTCTAATCTGGAGTAAAGTCGAATTAAAGACCAAAAGGCAATAAAGTGTCCTGCAGAGAAATAGGAGGAATAAGGCCCCAAGAGCTAATATAAAAATTTATTGAGCAATTTATTGCGGTATTAATTGTCTGTCACTGGCCTAGCAGCATATCAGTAACAGATTTTGAAAAGGCATACTGTGGGTTTTGACAGTAGCTTGTATCATAGCAAACCTCCTTCAAACCTGTACATGCTCTGGTACTTTAGAAAGGTCCTAAAGTTCATGAGATCTTCCATTCATGTGAGAATTGCAGTAACCAAATATCACCTTACCATACCCAATTTATCTCTAACACATGACCTCATCAGATTCTCAGAAAAGTCTGAAAGTCCTAAATAATTTCCAAAGACACTGAGGGACTTAAACAAAAAGTACTTAAAACAAATGACCTTTTAACTCCTTGTTTAGAAGAGAATGGGCCAACATTCATGATTTATTCAGGGACATTTATTTAACCACCTACCATAAGTCAGGAACTGTAGATGCAAAGACTAAGAAGATAGGATCTGGGCCCCAAGGGACTTACAGTGTGTGGGGGGTGGATATAGGCATGTAAATTAGTAAGGATAATAAAATGTTACAGGTTCTATAATAGAAGTATGTCAATGGTAAAACAGGATATAAAAAGAGAGAGAGATCAATTCTACATGGGTAGGGGGATCGTAAAGTCTTTAGAGAGAAGGTGACCCCTTAAAAAATAAACGCAGCAAATCGGGATGTGAATACCTATTATAATAAAAAAATCACATACATATAATTTATTCTTTGTTATAAAAAAGTGGCCTCTATACAGGAATGGATAGGTTAAAAAAAAATTTCTAAAATCCCTCTCTTTTCAGGAATTCTCCACTAGCCTCCTTGGCAATTGATGTTAATTTATGTGTCAGGCTGAGGGTCAACAGTCAAACATATAATCTGTAATTGGCTCAGTACATACAGCAAATTAAGACCAAAGTTTTCTTTTCTATCATATGTGAAAATCCTATTCATGATTTGAATCTACATATATATCTGTCTGAATATTATTGGCCATATAAATTTTTGGTAGTTATCTATGACTCTTAGAAATTCTTCTTCCTGGACATGCACAGCCAACCATATTTAAATCATTTAAGGGACAGTTATTATGAACAAGGTTACTCGGTAGCTGATGAACTGAAAAGGCAGAGGTGTCAGTATCAGAAGTACAACTTCAGTGAGAGGTATCCAGCCAGGATTGTAACGTTCTGACGTGCACAACATGAAGGGGTGTGGACCAAACACCAATCTCTTCAGCCACTCACTCCTACAGAAAGCAAAGTCTTCTGAGCCCCATCTTGCAAAAATTCACTTATTACAGATAAATTTGGTTCTGGTCACTGTGATCAACCAGCGCTAAAATGTTATCTTTGTTAGGCAATCATTTTGTCCTCCATGCAAGTAAGCCTCACTCCTGACTCCTCATCTTAGGAACGTGTAGTAAGTACCTAGTCTATTACTAAGTCAATTCATCCAAACCTCTGAAGGCAGTCTTTGCACATCTTCCTAAGAAAAGTGTTTTTATTATAAATTCCCACAGTAGTGTTTACATCCCCCACATAGCTCACGAAAATTCCTATGCATCTTTAGTGGATCAGCTCAAGTCTTCTCTCCTGGAATGTATCAAATAAAAAATAAAACCAGAAATAGCAAGAGAGACTTTATTTGAAAGAATTATTGCAAGGGAGAGGGAGTGCGTTATCACCACAATAAATGGATGGGACTACTGCCAGAGGTAGAGCACTTTGACCATAAGATCTGCAAGTATATCAAGAATTAAGCAAAAAGAGTTTTTCTTTTACAGGAAGATATAAACAAGGCTAGAAAGAACCTGGCGTGGGGAAGTGGGATGAAAGGCATAATTGTCCAGTAGATCAGAGAATGTTTTACTGGGAAGTGAGCCTATTCTCAAGAAGAGGTATTCTATGCTGGTTAACTTCATGGATCTGGGGGAAGGAGAGAACCTTAACCACAGTTTGGTTAATAAACATGTTTTTCCAATTGATCAATGGGGATAAGCAGTTCTGCTAATCATTTGTGAGGTAAAGAATGGAAAATTAGGAAGGTGGGCCCTGGCCTTGTCATAGATAAACAAGGGGCAAATCTGTGCCTTTTATCTAAGCCTTGTGGTGAAGGGTCTGCCCCTCCACCCCGGGCCTATAGGCTGTTTTTCCAGAACCCAAAGAGTGAAGGATTTAAGAAAAAAAAATTTTTTTAAATTTATTTCCGAGAGAGAGAGACAGCATGAGCAGGGGAGGATCGGAGAGAGAGGGAGACACAGAATCCGAAACAGGCTCCAGGCTCCAAGCTGGCTGTCAGCACAGAGCCCGATGCTGGGCTCGAAGCCACGAAAGGTGAGATTATGACCTGAGCCAAAGTCAGACGCTGAACTGACTGAGCCACCCAGGTGTCCCGAGAGTGGGGAGATTTTTAAAACTTTGTTGTTTTCCATGATCACAGGGCTCAGGAAAAGTTCAACATTGTCCACTGACATTAATCAAAAACAATTGACGTTAGGCGATGCTAGTAGGAAAGGCAGCTTGTAGTATGATGTTAGAGTAAGTAAAAAACTTGGTCTTCCAAGTGGTTTATATTGATGTGGGTTTCTTAGATACTTCTAATCTAGGTAAACAGAATCATGATTCAAGCCAGATAAAAATTCAGGGGCCCCTGGGTGGCTCAGTCGGTCAAGCGTCCGACTTTAGCTCAGGTCATGATTTCATGGTTCATGGGTTCGAGCCCCACATGGGGCTCTGTGCTGACAGCTCACAGCCTGGAGCCTGCTTCAAATTCTGTGACTTCCTTTCTCTCTGTCCCCCCCCTGCTCATACTCTGTCTCTCAAAAATAAATAAACGTTAAAAAAAATTCAATAGGAAGACTGGGGGTAAATAACAAACAATAGAATGCATTTTTCTAACCCCATCTTCTGTGTCTCTATCTCTCTCCTCTTGTGATCACTGGAGGCATCTAAGTCTTAGGTCATCAACTACTTTACGTTCTCACTCATCTATTGCTTTTTACTTTGCAGACACGTCTGACACAAAGTAAGCAGAAAAGAAGAAATCTAACAGTGTTGAAGTCTCAGATGTTACAGACAATCAAAATCTCCTAAATTCCCAGATTCAAGCATTGCCGATAAAAGAGGAGAATCACATTGTTTTCCTATAGTAATACATTACTAATAAAGGTAAATAGCCCATTGCAGCTACAGTCTCCACGTCTGGCTCAGAAAAAGAAGCAAGAAGACCTACTTCTTCCTCTTTCTTTTCCCCCTAAACCACAGAGAACAGAAAGGTGGACAGACAGAACATGGGGACTGTCCCTGGGCCAGGCTCTGCACACACCCATACCTGTAAAGAAAAGCACCCTTCCTAAAACAGTATAAAAAAATCAAAATAACATTAATTGATCTGCCATAGTTCAGCCCAGGACCATCAAAAGGTATTTTACTACCTTGCCTCACTCAAAATAAAATGCATTATTAGCAGAAGAACTCATAGATCAATGAAAGAGAATATAATAATACAACATAAGTTTTAAGAACGTTAATGAAATCCACCAAAGTAATTTCTAATTAGCTCGACAATTAAGCTATTACCATACTGTCCTAGACAAGAGAAATAATACTTTTGTTGGGCCCACTCCCAAAATCTGGGTAGAAACCAAGCCAGCTTCCCATTAGGAAAATAACACATAAAAATGAACACAGAGATGATAGAAATAAAACTTCGAAGGTGGAAACTGACTTTATTACTGTTAAATCATATGAATAATTTCTAATTGATTTGTATTGGGCCGGCATCTTATATTCCAGAACCATGTTCATCTATTTATCACAATATTCTATATGACATATGGAAACTAATACATTGCTTCATTAATATTTACGGTCTTTCTCTAGTTATGGCTCAGAGATATTTAACATTCTAAAACATAAGCACTGATAATGACATGTTTTACATTTTACTCTAATTTTTAACACTGCCAAGATTATTTAGTATAACTAACTTTTTAACTATGTACTCTTTTCTCTCTAACCATTAGCATATCAATCAAATTTGCATTATTCTGGCTTGCTCCTTTTATTAAAAGCGAATTCAGGGCACAATTGACTTTTCATTTGTTTAACAAGTGAAGAAATATTTACCCTGACAGCCATTGCGTTGTAGAGATTCATCTTCATAGCACAAAACGCTAACTGTGAATCAAGAAAAAAAAAGATGGCATATATTTCAGTTACACAAAGACAGTGCAGCCTATTTTTACATATAAAAGATAAGAATCTTTATACATAATACATAATAAGAGTTCTAGGCTTAGAAAAATGAAATCAAACTTTGTATTGAAAAGATAGGCTTCCTAATACATAATGCAGGCTTAACCAGAAAAATCTATGGTAGTCAAACTAGGAGCTAATGGAGATATATGATCATAAAATGCTCTCCGCTGAGTTTGATAATCAATGGTGCTCTACTGAGAATAGAATAACAAAGCAGAAATATTCACAAGTGCTGGTGACACGTAGTATTGTATGATTTATTCACTGGGGTTCTTTTAGCCAAAACTCACAGAAACATAAAAGGAATTCATATTTCAAGACGTCTGGTTTAATGAAAAATTCAAAGAAATGCTGTCTTCAGTTGAAATCGTTCAAGGATATGGATGCAGTGATGGAGCAAAATTGTGCCTTCCAACCATCTGTACAAAATGTTATGTACTTAGCTGCCTCCTGAGTAATCCTTGGGAATTTTGTTTCATTTAATATTCATTTTAACACCATAAAATCATAAATACAATGATATCATGTTACAGCAAATCCCCTGATATAGTGAAGACTTCCTAAGGTCTTATTTTCTTTCTAGTATAGACACATTTGTCTATTAACATACAAATCTCTGTTACACTACATAATCGTTTAGCAACATAGCTTATTTCAATGAAAACACTGCTTTAAATGAAGTTTCTGCATCTGTTATATCTTTTAGTCAAAAACATAAAAATTAACATAATTCATGATGGTACAATAAACAGGAAAAGCAATGAAACATATTTTTAACATATTCTTATTCCATCAAAATGCATTTGACTAATATAACTTGAACTTAGGTAATAGGTGTTCTGTTTCAGGTAAAAATCAGAGGTAAGTGTCTTAACCTTTTACACAGGGGTTTTCTTCCCTGCAACAAACAAAAATTCATATAAAGGTTTTCACTGTAATTAGTATTGTTTGAATTGCCTGGTCTGATCCAAAGCAAATTGTCTGTGGAGAGCAGGAGGCCTGGATTATTTATCAACAGTCTGAGCAATTAAGAACCAGTTGGCTGCAATATGTTATTTACAAATGAACACAATGATGTTACTTTATTTTAAATTCTCTTTCTTCATCATAGCAAGCAAGGCATGATTCTTGGTGTTTGAGGTGAATTTAAAAGATTTACTTTAATACCATATTTCTTCAAGTCATATTGAGGCAGATACAACCACTGAATGTTTTCATACAGAAGAAACATATTAAAATTTACAGTTTTGAGACAGTGTGGGTTCAGAAAAAGATAACGTTTCTTAGCTTTATCATGCGGCTGCCCAGTTAGCGACACTGAGTGCGTGTGAGCCTTCCAGCAACAGAACTGAGTTCAGTTCCGGATATTGCTTTTACCAGCCGTGTGGCTCTGAACAGATCCCTTAAAGTCTGCCCATCTTAGCTTCCATGCCCACAAAAGGGAACAGTACATACTTCAGAGAGTTCAGGTGAAGATTAAAATGAAATAAAATATTTAAGGTGCTTGGGACACAGTTGATGATAATTAGAGAAGGGGTTTTCACACTGGTGCTATTACACATTTTGGAGCTAAAAGTATGTAATTTAATGATAATTAAAGTTCCAAAATGTAAGAGGTTAAATTTTATTCTGAACAAAGAAGAAAAAAGAGAGCTAGGTTTAAAGTGTAAGCATTCTGAATTTTACAGTTAAAAGGTGGAATGGCACTTTGATTATCATGTACCATTCGCATTTGAACCACTACTTAGTATTAAATGTATTTGCTTTGGAAAGTAACAAAAATATATACATGTGCGAAAAGCAGAGCATGATCCTGATTATAAGAGGTACCTGGAACAGTCAAATTCACAGAGACAGAAAGTAGAATAGTGGTTACCAGGGGTTAAAGGGTGTGGAGAGCTATTGCTAAATGGGTGCAGGGTTTCCAGTTGTGATGAAGGAATAGTTTTGGAGATAGGCAATCATGATAGTTGCATAAAAAATGTAACTGTACCTAATACCACTGAATAATAATAGTACAGTTAAAAATGGTAAAAATAGCAAATTTTATGATACATGCATTTTACCACAATTTGAAAAAACACTAAAAGAATCATTGGTGGATGTGAATTGTTCATTTCCATGAACTATCTACAAGACACTTAGGCACTTTAAAATTTTGTAAAATTTCTTTCATCTAAGTCTTTTTATTTCCATTCTGAGTGATGGTACTATTTATTAGTGTTTGGGGTTTTTTTTCTTTAATTTCATTATGTAGTTAAAATATAAATCATACCAAAGATTTGTTCTTAAGATTATTTTCTAGAATTCTGTCCTAGAAATTTGTTTTTTCCCACTCCATGAAGATGGATAAGCAAAGCCTATCTTAGCCGCTAAATATTAATAATATATCCATGAATGACAAGCTATTGCAATTTCTCAGCAGACAAAAGTCTTAAAATTTTTCCTATTATTTATTAAATTCCCATTTTACCATTAAGGTACCAAGTCTACTAAGACTAAAAATCTAGGCTGAAAATCAAGCACAAATGGTGATATTTTCATCGTAATGAAAACATGATGCTCAATTATAGATTTTTTTTCCCAAATGTTTGTTGAAGAAACAAAGGAAGGGAAAGAGGAATGGAGAAAGAAAGAAAGAAAGAAAGAAAGAAAGAAAGAAAGAAAGAAAGAAAGAAAGAGAGAGAGAGAGAGAGAGAGAGAGAGAGAGAGAAAGAAAGAAAGAAAGAAAGAAAGAAAGAAAGAAAGAAAGAAAGGAAGGAAGGAAGGAAGGAAGAAAGATAAATAGAATTGTTATGTTGCCTTTATAACAGAGCAGGAAGAATTTCTGCGATGAAAAACAGCATTTCAATACTAAATCAACCATTTGTTAGCTGTACGGCCTTTGCCATGTGATCCAGCTCAATTTTTAGAAGGCTGCTGAAACAAAAAAATTTTGGAGGATGTATTCCTTTTAAAATCATAATTTTTTGAGTGATTAATATCCACGTGAACCTTTTGGTCAGGGCTGCTATTCAGTGGGATTGGACCATGATTACTGATGGAAGCATGTTTCATATTTTGAGTTTCTCTCTGCTTCTTTTTCTGTCAGGTGAATTACAATGGGAGAGTGGCTGGGGATAAAGGAGAATCACTCTCTTAGAGGTCAAGTGTATTCAAACCTCACCATAATCAGGTCCCAATTTTTTACCCGAATTATCTCTCACCACTTCATTTCTTTAAAGCTCAATGTGATAAAATCGCTATTTTTATTTCTTCACCTCCATGTCCATAGTAGTCCCCTTGCCTGAAATGTCTTATCATTCTTATCATTCTTTGCTATAGCTGTCCAAATCCCATCTCTCCTGTTTTTCTTGCAAGCATTCATAGGACAAACTATCTTTTCTCGCCCACTCCAAGTACCATCAACTGGAGGAAGCCGGCGTTCTCCTAATTCCAAAGCATACTTTCACAAACCAATAAAAGGGACTCCTTTATTTTTTATTATTTTTTTAAATATTTTTATTTTATTTCTAGGAGAGAGAGAGAGCGTGAGCAGGGGAGGGTAAGAGAGGGAGGGAGTGACAGACTCTGAAATAGGCTCCAGGCTCTGAGCTGGCAGTCAGCACACTTGGGATTCTGTGTCTCTCTCCCTCTGCCCTTTCCCCTTCTCATACTCACTCTCTCTTTCTCAAATTAAAAATTAAATGGACAACAACAACAACAACAAAAACCAAAAGAACAAGAAGCCTTACTTCTTAACCTCAAGCTTTCCACATTTAGACCCTCTGTCCCTTTTTAGTATCGTCATCCCTCAGGTCTCATATTACTTAGCCTCCATACTTCCTCCTCCTCACCTCTCCCTGATGGGCTCCAATCATCTGCTCTAAAGATTCTGACCCCAAGCTAATGGTCTCACTCTTCATCACAGCTCCCGCCATCATCTCAAGACTTTCCAAATTCATGTGGACAAAACACTAAATTACGAAATCCCACCACTTCCTGCTTTTCTCAGTCCCAATGACCAACACTTCAGGGTAACTTACACTCCCCTCGCCATGTCCCAGACCTTGTGAACTAGGAATGTTCCCCCTCTTAAGTCTTAAACTCTTAATGCCAATTCCTCTCCTTCCGCTCTAGGTGGCTAATTCCTCTTCAAGGCTCTTCCACCTTGATCTGTATAGATGTAATACAGATGTTTCTTGTTCCCCATTTTTAGGTTCTTCATTCACATATTTTTACACACAATGGCTATGTGGTATTTTGCTACATAACATACTCTAAATTATTTCGTATTTCCTTTATTATTGAGTATTTAGGTTGAGAACCAAAAAAAGTTTCAAGGAGAAAATCGTCATTTTTAAAAGCAGAATACTTTTTAAAAAATTTTTTCCTGAAGTTTTTTTTTATTTTCAATTCCAGTATAGATGACACATAGTGTTATATTAGTTCCAGGTGTACAATATACTGATTCAACAGTTCTGTACATAACAGTGCTCATCAAGACAAGTGCTCTTCTTAATCTGCTTCACCTATTTCACCCATCCCCCTACCCACCTCCCTTCTGGTAACTATCAGTTTGTTCTCTGTACTTAAGTCTGTTTCTTGGTTTGTTTCTCTCTTTTTCTCCTTTGCTCATCAAAAGCAAAACACTTAGAGCAATACATTCTTATAATAATTTTGAATAATACGTTTATATAAACTCGACCAGATCAACTGTCTTTATTTGTTGGATTGGGCAGTACAAAGGAAAAATTTGCATTAAAGTGATGACAATGGAACTTTTAGAAGCTGTGCACATATGGATAACAGATCTGATGAGCCTGAGCCTTTGTTATTTTCCACATCAGTGCCATCCTCATTTCATAATTTTGAGTATAATCATTAAAATGATTTATTACCAAATAATCATGAATATTTTGTGCATATGCTTTGCATTG